GTTGGACTAGATGACCTCCAAGGTCCCTTCCAACTACATTATTATTATTATTATTATTATTATTATTATTATTATTATTATTATTATTTTGTAAACATCACCATGTTCATTGGGACAGGTTTACAGGGAAATCTATGCTCATTAATTATAGATCATCTTTTTGTCTAAAGTGACAATGACTTCAGGTAAATCATATATGAAAAAAGCAAGCCAAACAATATTAACATCCATGAGAAGAACTTACTAGTTAACAGCTGTTAAAAGGCTCATGCTTTAGATTTGCAAAAGCAACTTCTATTTAATCATAGACCTGGGTTGAAAATATTCAATGGATAGGATTCAAAATGACACTAGATACCTAAGTGATCTAGTGTAACAGTCTCACTGTACATTGTACCATATTTCTAGCTTCAATTTTTAGGCAACTAATCTTACATCATAGGGCTGTTGGAGGACCAGACTGAGTTGTGGGACCACTGTGGAATGACTTCCATAATGAAGGCTGCCACTGTTTTGTGCCTTATTTCACAGAATGAATGATTTAGGCTTATTGTATTGTGTAAACTCCACCAATGAGACTTAAATACTTTGGTTTATGCTTTAGCATTTTATGTATGTGAATCAAGCTAATTCTGAGAGATTTTGTAAATTAGTTTTTTGTTTTGGTTATTTTTCTACCCCTCATGATCCTATCTCTATGTTTGTAAAGCAAAGGTGGCATATAAAATTATAAGACAAATAAACATTGTTTAAATTACTTTCAAGAGTAAAAACCTCTTCTCCAAAGATGAAACTATTCCAAAGTGCTTTTTAAGATGACATCTCAGCACAACATTGGGAAAAAAGCTGATATTAAATCAAATCCAACACAGTATACATAATTTATGTGATATGTCATTATGCAAAAGCATGTTTAAATACTAAACATATATAATACCATACAAACTAATACTTTAAGTGCTACACAAATAAAGGAAGAGAATTGAATACACTATTGTCACAATAAAAATTGATTTAAAAGCATAGCCCACATTTCTTATGAGAAGAATCAGAAAACTGGTACATATTCCAATGACCATTATAAACCTGTCTGACACTATGCTGCTTGAGGAAAATCTGAATGACATCTTCATAATGGTAAAATATGACAGTACATAATTAATATTAGTTGCACTTTATTTTTGGTTTCAAGTTTACAACATTTAAACCATCATAATACATATTGTGCATTTAGTTCTGAATATTTGGGCTGATATGATACTGTTTTTTAGAACTATTGAGAAGGATGAGCTCTTGACCACTTCTTCATCATACATAAAATTATGAGGTTTGTACTTTCCAAATATCTTCAGTTAAAGATGAAAACTTTTAGTGACAGTTTTGGATACAACATGTAATCTAGAACATGGATTTGAGGTACTTGAATTTCTGTGGAAAACAACAGCATCAGTTGCAAAAACAAAACAAAAATACCAGAATTGACGGTGGGAATTTAGTTCTCGAGCTGTTTGTTTCCACTACTAAAACTAGCAAGTCTTGCTATATAGATGAAATGTTAATTTTCCTATGTTGTGGTTTAGAGCAAACCATCTGAAAATATGAGAATATTGTTGAATGAACTAACGTGTCTCTGTCCATATCCAAAGAGTGCACATTAAAGTATAATTCTATACTTTAAATCTAGTTATGAGCGAACAGAATTTTAATTTAATTTAAATGAGAATTTACTTTCAAATAATGACAGAATCTATAATTCTGAGAAGGTGACATGGACAAAGACAATTGCATTACTGTAACAGGATGGAAAAAAAAAGAAATAGCATGGCCATCTTTGCATTCTGAGACTAATCTTGGGGCCCAACAGAACTTTTTATCCAGCAGATAGACATCTCTCTGCAATTTGCTTTTAATGCCCTGGGACCTACAGTGGGTATAGGTTATGCACATCAGACAAATTATGCTTTATTTACTTTTATGTACCATTCTAGAATTTACTTTTTCAAGTGTGGGCAATAAAATGCTTCAAATAAGTAGGAAACCTGATATATTTATTACCATTGTATGTAGTTAATACTTTTACATGTCACTGCTGGAAAATATAGATTGTTTCTAGAATTATTTAGCCACTTTTCCTTTTTATTGAAGTTACTTTTAATTATTCCTTTTTCAGGATTAATAATTCAATATTGATATACAAAAAAGTAGTAACTACCAATGTTACATATTGTATTTCTGCAGTACTAGAATCTATGTTTATTTACAGCCATGCTGCCTGATCTGTTCCCTCATATGAACCATGTTCAGTAATGCCTATCCCTTTCTCACACAGTATGGTACCACAAGGCAGCTATAGCTTACTCTCTTGTGAAATGAAGAATTGAGATAGCAAAGAACAATCTGTCTGCAATTGCTTACCCATCCTTTTTTTCTTGAAGACATTTTTTTTAAGAATAGGGAGTGACAAATTATCCAGAAAAAGAAGTAAACTAATTTTTTAATTTACTTGCGCTCTTTTTATATAGTACAAAAGAGCAAAAGCTTGAAAACCTTTTAGGTGCTAGAATGAAAAAATAATGAATTACAAACTGCTCTGAGAGAACATGTACACAAGACAATACTGTCTTTCGGAATCTTATCTTTGCTTTATTTGGCCCTGTGAAACTTCTCCCCCAAAGAGCACAAGCAATCATTTCTGCCATGTCATCTTCTTTCTGTGAACAGCAAAGGGGGATTGGCCCAAACTTGACCAATTTCTCTAAATGCTAAACAGATAGTAAAGATATATAAGAAAGTTAAGGGTAGCAATTTGTACAAAATGCACTACTCATGAGGACTCTGCCAGCAGGGAGTGAGTTGAGCAAGTGTATTTTTTTTAATTACTGTAAAGTCCTAGAGAAAGAGGAAAGAGAGAAAAATCATGAGCAAGGAAACATGTTAGGAATCTCATGGAAAGAATAATATAAAGTAATACACTGGCTTTTTTTTAAATCCTGATATCCACAAGGTATCTCTTAACATCTGGAAGGTTTTCTGGAAGGTTTTCAATAAGCATCCAATACTGGATGAATCAGTGATAATATATTTGGGCTTCAAAAAACCATATAACCACTAGATAGCAGCAGTGACGGCAAAGAAGCTTTTTTTTTTCTTGTCTAGTAGTTATTTGTCTTTTTGAGCTTTGGTAAAATATTGTAGCACTAAATATGATTTAACCAGCTCATATTGAGTATTGCCCAACTAGAAAACAAGGAAGCAAATAGATACCAGAGTGAAAATGCATATAAATAATCTGAAGTGTAGTAATTGTACTTTGTATTCATCACTTAAAAATGCTATTTTGGTGTGCAGGGAACATCAAAAGAAGCCATTCCTATTCCACTGCTCTTTATTCCTTTCAGAATGGAATACCAAAGGAGGAGCAGTCTTCAGTCATATGGGCATGTCCAGATCTTCTACCTGTTGACACATCTCTTTGTAAGATGCTTGTTGGAAAGTCAGGCTCCAGAGGAAGTGTGTAGAAAAATAAGAGGAAATGTTGACAGCTTTAAAGAGTTACTCTATTCTTCTGTTTGTTTTCCTGCTTTTTGCACAATACTGGGGAAAGGACAAGGCTCATCTAGCCTAGCATCTATTCATATGGCGAGAAGGAAAGGGAACAAGGTTGAAATTTGGTGCCTCCTTCCTACTATGCTACTCCATCACAGAAAGTACACGGTCAACTATTTTGGCCCAACACAGTTCTGCCTTCTGTTCCTTAAGGTGGGGCAGCCAGAACTGGAGAATGACTATATTTAAGGGCTCCCTATACATCGAAAACGGCTATTTTTATTTATTCTTGGATGATCCCATCTTAGCAGAGCCAGGGACAGGATTGGATTGTACCCACCAGGCACCCACCAGGCGCCCTTTCGCTGCCTTTTTGGCTTAATCTTCCAACCCCAGCCTCAAGTTCTTCGCCTCGATTGGGTCAGCACTCCTGTTCTCTGGAAGGCCTGCACATGTGTATTGTACATACAACCCCTCCCCACATACGTACACACGTAAATACATAAATAAATACATACCTCGCTGCCCTCCCTTCCCCGTTGGAGTGTTTGGGCTCGGGAAGTGTCCGCAAGAGAAAGCTAGGGCGAGCCCCCTTCCCTTACAACCCGAGTCGCGAGAGCCCGAGTTTTTTTGCGCGTGTGTGTGTGTGCTGGAAGGAGAGAGAGATAGAGAAAGAGAAAGAAAGAGAGAGCGCGGCCGGGAAAAGGGGGGTGGAGAGAGAGAGAGAGACTCAGCAAGCAACTCCTGACAGAGTCTAGCCCGACAGCGCTCCTGAGACTCTTCAGCTGGGAGAGCGTGAGAACGCGAAAGCAGTAACAGCCCTTCTCGGCTCCGGCCGCCGCTTCTCCTCGCCAGCTGCAAGCGCCCGACTAGCGCCTGGAGAGAAAAGGCGGGGAGGGGATCCTGGAGGGGCCACAGAGGCACATTCCCTGAATCCAGTTTCTCTCCCCCCACCTCCTCGCTCTCCCCCTCCTCCCCGCTCTTCCCTCCTTTCTTCCTCTCGCTTCCCCTCTCCTTCCTCCGCCTCACTTTCTCCCCCTCCTCCCTTACCTCTCTTTCTCCCCTTATTTTGTCTCTGCTTCCCCTCCCACCCCACTTCCCCCTTTTTATTTTTTTTTTTAACCTCAGCTTTTGCTGGCACTGCACTGCAGCTGCTCCTTCAGCCAGCCGTCCAGCCTGCTTTTTCTCCTCCTCTCTCTTTTCTGTCTCCCCCCCTCCACCCCGTTTCACCGGTGCCAGACAAACAATCGCCTACCCCCACTCCAAGAAAGCATCTTTTTTTGGGGGGGGGACGGACCGGTTTCGCAGATTAGCTTGAAATTTCAGAGGACGGAAGAAAAGCGAAAGAAGCGGGACGAGCCCCCTCCTCCTCCTCCTCCTCCTCCCCCTCCCTGCTCCCCCCACCCCGAAGGGAGAAGCCAGTTATCCTTCTAGCAGCGGCGGCGGCAGCAAACATGATGGCGGCAGCTCCCATCCAGCAGAACGGGACCCATCCTGGGGTACCCATAGACCTGGACCCGCCGGACTCTCGGAAAAGACCACTTGAAGCTCCCCCTGAAGCCGGCAGCACCAAAAGGACCAACACGGGCGGTGGGTATTTTCCCCTCCTCCTCCTCCTCCTGCCACTACCCAATTCCCCACCCACCTTCCCCTTTCCTACCTGCCTCCTCGCCTCGCCTCTCCCTCTTTTCCTTCCCCAAACATTCCTTATTTCTCAAATGTTATCATTCATCAAAATGGCGTCGCCTTTCAAGCATCTAGCAGCCCTGTTTTATTTTAATTTCACATATTCGTAGTGGCGGGGCGGAGGGGGGGGGTGCTTTTCAGCCTTGACACTCTGGGCGAAGGAGCTCAGAAGTCTTCTTTCACCGACCCTCTTGCACGCGTGCTAACAGTTGGAAGAACTAAACGAATAAATGGCGGCTGGAAAAAAGGCACTTTCACCCCCTGTTCCCTCTTCCCCCTTTTGTGAGTCGCCAGGTAGATTAAACAGGAGCGGCGGCGGCGGCAGCAAAACTTGTCTTATTTCCTGGCACCACTTTCCTTTTCGGTGGAAAATGTTGCACGGATTTGTGCTTCCTGGGGCTGGGTCACTGTGATGGGGTGTGTGTAAGCGCGCGTGTGTGTGTCAGAGAGAGGTTTGAGGAGGGAGGGCGGGAGTTGTCTGTCTTGGTGCGGTGACTTGTTAGTTAACATCCTGCTCTTCCTGGATGAGATGAGTTATAACGGGACCAGCATCTCCTCTATTCATTTGCACTGGAGTCTTCATAACAATGCACCGAGGCAGAGGTGAATTTATTCATCCAGCATTAAGAAACAACAGAAGTAGATAGCTGATGTATTTAACGTTTGTATAATGTTTGGGGAGGGGGGAGGATGCACCTGTATCAGCTGGGACGTTGACTCTGAGAGAAAGTGAGCTTGCTGTTAGGTGGCTGCAAAACAAAAAAATAAAAGTTGGGCTGTTTAATAAAGAAGGGTCTTAAAATGTGTGTTGGTTTTTACAAGCAATCCTCTCAGAGCAGTTTTTTTTCCCTAGTCCATAGAATTGATGGTGTAAGTTCTGTGAAGGAAGCAGTGCAATTGTTCAGTTATAAAGGGGAAGTTGTTTTATTCATGGCACTTATTCTTACCTATTTTGGGACTTTTTAAACTCTTACTTTGCAAGTATTTACATTAGTCACTTTTTAAATGCATGCAGGGTTTTAGCTTCCTTTTAACTGAGAAAAATTCTTCTTAATGTCCTTTAATGAGCTTAAGAGATCATTGCTACCAAGAAATGGTGAAGAAATACATCAGGATTACTTAGGCAAATTATCATAACCACATTATTTTGCGTTTTCTTCAGGATAACTTTGAGTAAAGCCTCAGATTCTGGGTTATTTAACAAAAAGCAGTGTATTATTTGAAGAGTATAGGGCAACAATACATAGCCTTTAGTTCTAACAATTTTCTACTTTCTTTAATTTGATTATACCATTTTAAGGACTTTGATCTTTCCTGATCATTTTCTTTGCCTCTGTGTGTGTGTGTGTGAGAGAGAGAGAGTGAAATACACTTTGGCTCATGTTATTGTTAACATGAAGTTAAATAGAGCCACAGGAACTGTTTTATGCCTGGAATTATAACTTGAATTAGGTCATTGCATCCCATAGCATCTCAAATTTAAGAACAGATATTAGATTAATTTAATATTGGCTAAATAACTACAGTCCGTATAAAAGAACGGTGTATTAATATTTGTAAGATAAAGGCATATTTTATAGCTCAGAGAGAAAATGTTTTGGAAAATAAATTAACCTTTTGTCTCTTTTTTTCCAGAGGACGGCCAATATTTTCTAAAAGTCCTCATACCTAGTTATGCGGCTGGATCTATAATTGGTAAGGGAGGACAGACAATTGTTCAGCTGCAGAAAGAGACTGGGGCTACCATCAAGCTTTCTAAATCCAAAGACTTTTACCCAGGTAGGTGTAAACCACAGTTCTTTTGCTGAATAATTAAAAAGAATCATACCACTACCATTAGTAGTAAAGTGAATTATCAAATGTAATTCTGAACAAATACTGAATTTGACTATTTTTTAAAAAAAAAATCAGCTTATTATCTAGTAGCAACTGTGTTATTCCGATAAATATTTTAAAAATTAGATTTCATCTTTGGTATTTTGTTCAAGAAAATGTCAAATATTATAATCAAAGCCATAAGTTAAAACGAAACCAAACCTGTGTGGTCCTTGTAGAATAGGCCTTTAACCTTAAATTTGCTGTATACTTTGGTTCTATTTCATTTCTTTGTTCACTTATATTAGTCAAAATAAAAGAGAGGAAGTGGTGCTCTTTAGATATTTCCTTGGTATTTGGTTATTTTAGTTGTGATAGTTAATAGAAACCTATTGTGTAATAATCGACACTAATGAGAAAAGGAGATTGATGTAGTTATACTGTGGGCATAAGCATTAACACACTGCATATTCACCACATGCTGAATAATGTACAGTGGTATCATATACATAATATTTTTAAAAAAATTCTGAATTCTTGCATAGATACTGATTATCTCATATACATTAAAACAAGTGTTTAATGTTTATAGCAGTAACAGCTATAGTCCCGATAGTGCATTGGTTTTCTAATTCTAACAGTGGTAACTTTGCATTGAGATGGCCTTTTTTCTTGTAGTAAAAGGAAAGCTGCTTTGCATTTGCTGATTGTTTTCAGAGATATGTCTGGATTTTAAAATGAGTTTAAAAGGCAATTGTGAAGGTAATTGAAAGAAGCATCAGGAATGTTTCATTTTTTGCAGTCTTTCATTTTGAAGTTTACATTATGTTTAGATACAGATGTTGAGCTTAAGTATTCATGATTTTATACACAGATATGTGTAGGTGAAATTCCACTAGTGAAGTGTTTTAAAATTTGATGATACAGCTTATATAATTTTTGATAGGCATGAAATACAATATATAGTTCACATAATGTACAGATCATAATACTTAAAATAACAACTGAGATAATAACAGCTTCTAAATTGAATTTGGACACAATAGTTTTTAATATAAATCACATATTTATATGATCCATGAAGAAGATATTTAATTAGAGATGATGGAGTGACGGAACAGATGCTATGACTGGCTATGCAAATTTGAAATTATATTCAATTTAAGTATATACTGCGAGGCAAGATTAGACTTCTGTCTACTACTTTACAAGAATTTCCCCTTAATTTAAATAATCATTAAATGTTTAATTGAATTGAATCCTGGATGCTTATGCAGGCACTTTGCTGAAGCTTCTGCTGAAAGTAGAAGCTTTGCCTATGTTTAATAAAATACAAAAGGGATGGTGAGAGGTTTATCACATTGTGTTCCTGTGTGACGTAAACACATTCCCTTTGAAGGAAATGATAGCATGGAGTTAGCTTGTGTAATCTGTAACAGGTGTAGATGTTACTGAATACCTGAAGTTACACTATAGGATAGCTTTCATAAATTTGATGTACATGAATTAGATTCTTACCTGAAGAGATGGATATATGTGAGGCACTCAAGTCATTAGTTGAGCTAGAAATTGTTTCCCTTTTAACCATAAGCCTGAAAAATCTTAATCAACTTTAAGCATTTTTTAAGCTGTTAATATTTGGCTTTTTTTTTTCAAACCAAATTTTAAGTTGAATTATACTAATATTATACTACTCTTAAATTAAAATGGATATTCACATTTCTAAGTATAAAATTTAAGTTCATGTGTTAGTGTTCTATATAACAATAATTTCATTCTGTGAACTACTTTTAGTATGATTATTAGTGCTAGAAATGGCTGATACTTAGTTTCATAGTTGTTGCTTAAATATTTAAGCATTTTTATGTGCATATTGGGAGCATATTGTGCAATAAAATTATGTAACCCATAATATATGTTTGTATTATGTACTATATGTGATAAATAGTGATGTGATCATAGCAAATAAAAATACGTCTTTAGATAATGCTTTTAATTAGTCCTGAAACTGTTTTTTTAAAAAAGCAATTTAAAAATTTATGTTAAAAATTTAACGTAAGTACTTAAAACTTACAGTATTTTCTCATCATAAAATTTTCATTCAGAGTTTAAATGCAATTGGCCAGATATTCAGAATAATTACCATTATTCAGGCATATAACTAAATAAATTGTTAATGACAGTTTCCTACTGTGCAAATTGTTTCCAAATGAAGATTTTTTTAAAAAAGACATGATTGAATATTGGTCATTTTTCTTGATAAACTGTAAATGGGTTTGGCATTTTCTGCATTCTGTGTGATAAATTAATAGCTTTATTTCTTAAAATTCATCTTCATAAAGTGCAATAGGTATTTCTTCTAGAAACTGTTATATATGTACTTGTGAATATGACAACTATATATATGACCCTTCCTGTTCTAGTTAAAATACTAGTTATGGGAGAGGGAGGGTTGATATATTATACTTTGTAAGGAATATTTTAAATTACTTGATTTTAGTATCTCATCTGAATCCAGCGTGGTATGAGAGGGTTTTACGAAAATTTAGTCAATCATGTTAAACAATAAATCGAATTGCGGATATATCCTGTTCTGTGCTTCATCTTAAATACATGCAAATGCATGCTCAGATACATGGCCAACTATATGTCAGTATTTGTCTGGGGTTCATATTCTCAAGCTTATCAGATGGAAGACTTTTTAAAAAATGTTGTACAACACAAAAATGAAAGATGTTAATGAATTTAGAAAACAAAAGAGGTTAAATCTAAAATGGTATCAAATCATTTTTCATGATTTTATTTTTAAAGTTTTTATTAAATGGATAATTAAGATTGAAGTTGAAACTTAAAACTAATGCATGAAGAGATTGTATAACTTGGCAGTCTGATGCTTGAAGATGTGTTCCAATGAAGATGTCATTTTGCATAATGGAACAATGAGATTATATGTTTTTTAAGTTTTAGCATTTGCTTTGCCTTTCCTCTGCTTATCTTAGGATGTTGCTTAAATAAAAGAACATTATTACAGTTGTATTGATGTTGCTAACCTACTTGAAAACTGATTCATAAAGAAATAGTTCTGATGAATATTCAAATTGGATCACTATGGGCCTTGTGATCTGCAAAAATCAGTTATTTTCCTTTTGCATCTATATATCCAGTCATTGAATACAAGTTATTCAAAGGTATAATTCTCAGCTGTACAATTTTTTTCTTTTTTCTTTTCTGCTTTAAGAAAAATGAAAGGATTGTTTCTAATAATAGTTCTGTTTGTTCTATATTGATGTTTTGTATATGTTGTGGGGCAACTTGATTTACTTTTTGTGTGGATAGAACATTTCTTTATTGGACTTTTACCATTTACCATATATTTTATAGTTGTTAAGACTTAACACTTAACAGGGTTAGGGTTTTGGATTTGATGATTGCATTTACTGTTGTTGGAGAAGAGCTAGGTTCTTTGAATTCTAAGTTGAATTGTGCGTTTGTAAAAACATATATTCTTTTTTTTTTAAGTCTGTTATTTATATTTAGAGTGGATCCTGACCGCAGAAGAGTCTGATGACTGTTTCTGTTTATGAGTATAACTTAAAACTGTCTTCCAGTAAAATGTGCAGAGGATTGTAGCTTTATATATAAACAGTGTTAGAAAGATTAAAGTATCACCTTGTGAACTGTTAATTCTTGCTCTCTTTTCAAGTCAATTAAGCTATCAATCTCCATGAATTCCTGAAGGAACATTCTTAAATGAAAATGCTGCTATATTCTGAATATAATGTATTCTGCCAAGTTACGTCAAGGAAGCTCAGCTCAATGTATTTATATGCAACTAAACATTTGGAAGTGATTTCTAATGGAATGTGTTTTGGGATTAGATTATCAATGAGTATAGTAGAGAAATTTCTCAAAGTTGTCTCTCTGTTTTGCAGATGTTACATATCAGTATTAAGTTATTGAAATTTGAGAATGACAAAACTGAAAGAAGACACATACTTCAGCTAGGTTTTCAAATGTTAATATTTATTTATTAAATTTCTATTTCAACATAGTTGTAAGGTAGCAATACATAATTATATGATTAATATATATATATTCTCTTGTTGAAAAGCATGTAGCGGTTTTGGTTTTTGTTGGAAAGGGAGATATCCAATTTAGAATAATTCTTTATTCTGTTTAATTTTTCTTTTTTATTCATGTTCTATGCTAGTGAAGAAACGAATATAAAAACTCTGTACTGGCATGTTTTCATTATAAGTTATTTCAATCAATACTTAAAACTGATATACTATTTTTTAATGTTCATTAAAAAAAGGAACCATACAATGTTGTCATTCAAAATTTTCATTGTAATGCTATGTGTTTTACCAAACAAAATTGTTTTGAAATGAGTGGAAAACATTTTTCTTTTAACCTTTCCCCTGATTTCCCAAATAACGTAGGTTTTGAACAATTATTTAAAAAAAATTTTTTTTTAAAAAAAATCACTCTATTCAGTAGTTTTTTTCTGCCAATATAGTCTTATTCTTAACATGGTTGGAAAGAAAATAATTTATTATTGAATTGTTTCCATAGTTGGAAAGCACAAATTATTGTGAAGTTGAGATTTAAATGAGGACTTTGTATAATCACCTTTAGCCATAGTTCCAGTTTAAACAACATCTGTAGAAACTTGATAATGTTTGTACTTTGCAGCAGGTGTAGTTGGAGTTGTAACGATTCTGAGAAAGAGTTCAGTTTGTTTTTATGTATCACCAGTCTGGCAGAAATGAATGACTTGGTAGACTTGAAGGTTGTCAGTTGTCCTGTGTTGGAATGCTGCAGGTAATTGGGCTAGACTGGTGGGAATTATGGCAGTGCACTTCTCACGTTGCACTGCAGCTGCTGTTGATCTTAATTAATCTGACCCTTAGAGGCTGCAGTGTCATAGCATAAAAGGCAATACATACTACAGATTTGAAGTG